CTGTTTTTCAAAGGGAAATCTGCCTTCTTCCCGCAACTGCATTTTGCTGTGGTTGAATCGAAGAAATTTTTGCTAAAGATTTTGGTATGAATCACGGAGGCAGAATCGCGAAGAAATGTGAAAAGGTCTTGCTGCAGCATCCATTCACCTTGTCTTAACAGTCATACCGAACGATTTCAAGCCACTTGAATACCTTGCCAGTTTGAATATTCGTGCGACTCGCATTACTCGCACACCCCTCATAACCATCGCCAAACCACGAAATTCACCAATTGTATCCGCACCAAGGCCTTAATTTGCGTTATCCTTATGATCCACATTCATTTGATACCATCATTAGTTATAACAGATAACATGCTTGAACGCGTGTTATGAGCGAGAAGAATACATCACATCAATATGTGCATCAATGCTATAGACTGCGCGATAATCCACTTCAGACATATTATTTCTACTATGGTCGAAAAATCTTCGATTAAACACATTGACTCGTATGTTTACTCCTGGATTTTTCGGAGAATTATTTCAAGATTACAATGGTGTTCTTTAGATGAATTTGTTATTGGTTTGAATAAATCAAATGATGCCAANATCGTCTAAGACATGCCGTTGCATAGCACTCAAAAGGTTTAAACGAATTTCGTTAATTCACACTTTCCTATTCGCAAGAGGATGTCTCCGTTTCCGTTCAACGTTCGAACTGATGTCCTCGACGTCGAAGTATGATCGAAGAGAATTGAACGCTCATTAGGCCTTATTCATAAAAGTTGCAACGTACGTTTGAAAATAGTGGAGTGTTGTAGGATAAGGCGTTTCGAGTTAATAGAAGTGAGTGTAAGGGCATTATTCGCGGAGTTGAAAAGAAACTAAATTCCTTCCAAATCCATACAGAAATCTATGCAGAAGCTGATCGTTTAAAATTGGCATTTGGCTAACTAATAATAACTCCAAAAATCACAGTACATACCTGATAAACCTGCAATTTGAATATTTTACCTTCAATCGGTAAAACGCTCTTCAATGTGCTATTGCCCTTGCTAGCGATCAAGTGAAATTAACCTCATAATATTCTCACACTCTAACTAAAACTACTGAATAAACTCATAACTACATAAACTAGCGATTGTATCGATCAATGATTTGCAAAGACGTCAAAAATTCTCTACGTTAATTTATTTTGTTCACTGATTACTAGTCGATTTATCTTTCGTCTTTTTGGAACTCCTTATCATCGTTGCTCAAGTACCGCCAGCTTAATCTTGGTGTCGCTGAGATATCTTTACAAAAGTGACAAATTACAGCACCGAACCGTGCTTCATCACTTTCTAACGTATCAATTA